TTTAATCCGCCGGCCTCCTTCGACCTCGATATTTATCAGGGAAAAAATCCGCCGGCCTCCTTCAAGTTGGCACCGGGGGACATGTTTACATAGTAAAAGAGAACCCTGGGCCGGAGCCCTTTCCGGGAACAAGCGTTTTGCAAAACCAGCGTTTCGCTCGAGACATCCTCAACAAATTATGAAAAACAAGCGTTTCGCTCGAGACATCCGGTCAAAATCCTAAGAAATCCAAATACCCGCGCGCGGGACGCGGCACGCGCGAGACATCCTCAGAATTCCTGCGCGAGGGGCGCTTTTCCGTGTCGCGGTCGGCTCTGCAAAACCAGCGTGTCGCTCGAGACATCCTCAACAAATTCTGAAACCAAGCGTTTCGCTCGAGACATCCCCAACTCTGCAAAACCAGCGTCTCGCTCGAGACATCCTCAACAAATTCTGAAACACAAGCGTTTCGCTCGAGACATCCTCAAAAATAATTTCGCCGGCCCTCTTCCCGCACGTAATTTATCGCAGAATAATTTCGCCGGCCCACCTCCCGTCGAAACCGGGGGGTAAACCAACTAAAAGAGAACCCTGGGCTCGAGCCCTTTCCGGGAACATGCAAAGAGATTCCCACGAACACCCGCAAACTATGGCCTGAAACCTGCATCCTCGATCGATCGACGGTGACGACGAGCGACAAAGGCTAACAAGGTCAACTCAACAAAAACGGCCTATTCCGGCAGCTGTGGTCACGCTGGAAGCCATGTTGTAATCTTGGAGCGTCCCTTGGTGTATTCGGGGCAATCATGGAATTTGGCGGGGCTTGCTTGGGCGGCGGACCCGGGGTAAGAAGGCAGTGAATTGAAGAGGCGGGTGCTCGGGAAATTCGCCGTGCTCCGGAGCACGTTCAAATTGAGAATGCCCCAGAGGGAGTCGGACCGACGACGTCCTGTGCAGGAGCGTTCGGGACCAAGTGCGTAGGGAAATTCTACGTGCCCCGGAGAAATACGTCGGGAGCACGTGGAGACGGGGCCTGGCGGGCCTCTTGGAGTCTCCTGGCACTCGTCGGGATCCCCTCTTGCGCTCTCCTGGGAACCTCGTGGGGCATCAGGGAGCGATGTCGGGAGCCCTCCGAGGCCGACCTCGGCACGTGCTCCGGGGAGGCGTCTCTGAAGAACGTCTCTGACCAGGGGGCGGGGTCGGGCCTGCTGGGGGCAAAATTCGAAGCCGCCTTGGAGGCCTCGGAGGCCGTCTTGGGGGCCAGGGGCGTCGTGACGGCCTCCGGGGTTCCCACGGGGCTCTCTTGGAGGCCTCTTCGGCCACCTTGGAGCGATAGTGAAGCCCACTGAGCCGTCCTGGGGCTGTTCTGGGCCGTCTTGGGTGACTCTGACCGTCTTTGGTGGACTCTCTTGGGGATGCTTTTGTGGCCCGCGTTGGGTTCTCTTGGGGCCTCGCGGGGCCGTCCTCTGCCGTCTTGGAGTTTTCTCGTGCAGTCTCAGGGCCCTCTTAGGCCGTCTTGCCACCCCCTTCGGCCGTCTTGGTGCTCTCTTCGGCCGCCTTGTAACGAGTTCGTGTGCCTCTTGAGCCGTCGTGGGCCGTGGAAATCACGACCAGGCGAGAATCCCCACAAACCTCCACAGCAAGGGACAATCATTGTTTTTGGCTCCCAGAATTACCAGCCTGGAACATATCCCTATCCCTATGCTGGGCACCTCCTCATCACGATGCCAATCTTAAGGATTCCCTTATTTTTTGAGGGCGAATCCCTAAGATTGTCATCGCCTTTTGGCGTGTCGATCTTAGGGATAGGGATACGTTCGAGGCTGGTAACAGAAGCTCTCTCGGGGCTCCCCTTGAGGGCCTGTTGGGCCGTCTTGGGCCCCGTTGGATCGCCTCAAAGCTTTTTGTGAAGCCATCCTGGCACGCTCTTGGGCGGAGGCAGGGCTCTCGGGGGCCTGTCGCGCCCGTGGCGGCTCGGGGCACCTGGCAGGTAGCCGCCGACCCTGCACCCAGGTATGTATGTATGGATGGAGCTATGTATACATGTATGGATTCCTGTATAGGTACGTGTGGGTGTGCATTGAGTATACGCGTTCACACATGTGACATGTGTATATGTAAATATAGACAAACATATGTATATATATACGTACGTGAACGCATACGTGTGTACAACTATCTACATACATGCATATACACAGGGTTTGGACGATATTGCACTACATTCCACTGAACTACAGGACATTGCAATGCAAAGCATTGGGCTCCACTACGTTGCATTGAATTACATGACGTTACAAGGCAAAGCAATGCATTGTACTGCATTGCGCTGCATTCAACTACGTTACCCTACACTATGCATTGCACTACATCGAGTCACATTACACTGTATAACAATACCTACACACATGCATCCACACACACCACATACACACATGCGTACGTGGATGCACGTACGCATACATGAATGCACACCACATACCACATACGCACATGCACACATACGAGAATACATACGCACATCCAGGCATACATACATACATACAACCATACGTACATTCACACATACATACATACATACATACATACATACATGCATACATACATGCATGTATACATGATTACATACATGCATACAAACATGTACATAAACACATATGTACATACATACGTACGTACACGCATACATGCACACGTACATGCATGCATACATACATGCACATTGGCATACATACATACGCATATACGCATTTACACGCATACGTATATGCATGCATATCTGCATGCCATCCTGCATGCATACATAATTACATACATACGTGCATATACATGCACGCATACATGCACCATGTATACATGCATGTACACCTACATACCTACATGCCTACATACCTACATACCTACATACATACATACATACACGTATACGCACAAACATACATACACACATACGTACAGCTATGCATGCATACATACATGCATACATACATACATGCGTGCATGCACGCATGCAAACATACAGGTATGTGTGTGTGTGTGTGTTCGTGGCCTGACCTAACTTATCCATGAAATGGCTCAGGGTAGAAGCAACACGGGCCAAATAGGCTCCGCTCAATTGGCGGAGTCATCCAAACCCACTACGCCGCTTAGGGCACTTCCAACCCGACCTTAAGCTAGGTTAGGCCAGATCTAAGTCACATTTGCAGCCACGCAAAACAAACCCTGAAACATTTAATGTCGTAACGACCCAAGCGCTGGTTAAACCTCTACCGGTCGGCAATTCTCCAATCAGATCGTTCCACGCCCTCGCGGTCTGGAGTCTGGAGCGCGACCCCGCGGAAAAACGGTCGCACGGACACGTCCCGCGCGGCGAATCCGTGGAAAAATATGCTCCGTGGAAGACTCCGTGGAAGATGTCGGGGCCCGCAGGCCCAGCCCGCGAGGCCGCGGGCACAGCGTGTGTCCTCTGCTCGCCCACGAGCCGCGGCAGGTTCTGGGCCACCGGCGGCGCTCGACCGCCCGATGGCGCTCCAATGCAAAAGGAGGCCCAGCCATCATCCCCGTGAGTTTGGACAGGCAGCGGCAGCTCAGAGATAGGGTCCTGAGGGATAGGGTCCTGAGGATGGGCAGGGGCTCAAGGGTGGATATACAGTGTCTGGAAAGGGAGAACACAACATAAACACAAACTGTGGGCGCTCCGCGCGGATCTCTTGGATCTACGCTGGACCCCCCTCCCTGGCGCGCGGAGCGCGCCAGGGGCGGGGGCGCCGCCGGGGGGGGCCCAGCGCGGATCCAAGAAATCCGCGCGGAGAGCAAACAGCTTGTGTTTATGGCGTCTTCTCCTCTTCGACGTGGGATCCCAACCCTCAGTTGAGCAGGGACCGATCGTCCCGGCATTCCTATAGTCCTACCACTAAGTGGTCTTAGAACCCAAACATGCCCTAAGAACAAAAACAAGGTTCTTAGAACATAAACCCGAGGTGTGACAACAAAACAATAACAGCCAGAACTGTTCTAAGAACACTTCGTGGAAACCACCAAAAGGTTCTTAGAACATTGATTTGTAGGGCTAGAGGCGAGCCAGGACGCTTCGCCACTGCTTGACTCAGGGCCCCATCTTTGAACCACCAGGGGTGTTGGTTGCGCGCAGAAGGGGGTGGAGGGAGGGGGAAGGCTTCTTAGAAGGAGGCTGCTTCTTAGAAGGCGGCGGCCTTACATCTATACATAAGGACCGCGCCTTCTACGAAGCAGGGGTGCTTCTAAGAAGCCTTCCCCCCTCCCCCTACCCCCCCTCTGCGCCTGGCCGAGGGTGCCCCGCAGTCTCCGAGGCATGCCCCGACGCCGCCCTCCGGCGCGGGTGGCACAGCTCGGCCCTGCACGCGCCCCGCGGGCCCAGAGAGCGGCCGCTCACCTCCCCCGAACCCCCGCGGCGGGGTCGCAGCGGTGCCGCCGCCGCGTCACCACTCTGGGGGGCGGACGAAGAAGAAGAAGAAGACGAAGAAGAAGAAGAAGAAGAAGACGAACAAAAAAAGCACGCCGAGACTTTTGTGGCAGCGCAGCCACCATAGGCTAGTGGAGGTTGAGAGCCCCCATCCCAGAAGACCTGTGTGGCGATGTGCGGAAGGTGTACTGACAAGCACGCTGAGAGGCGGACCTGCCTCATGACTACTGACTGGACCCCGCGGCGACCGACAGGGCTTTCAACCTCTGCTGCGCGCTCCGCCTGTTGAGCAAGGACCGACCGTCCTGGCATTCCTATAGTCCTACTACGAACTGTTGTTAGAACCCAAAAGTGCTCTTAGAACAACAACAACAACAACAACATGTCCTTAGAACATCAACCCGATGTGCTAAAACAAGACAGCCCCAGCCAGACATGTTCTGCGAACATTTCGTAGAAGCCATCAAAAAGTTCTCAGAACATTGTCTGGCAGGGCTCTAGGCGAGCCAGGACGCTTCGCCACTGCTTGCGCCTGCTGGGCCCGCATCTCTCCGGCGGAAGGCGGCGGAGGTGGGGCGGCCTCCGTGGACGAAGAACACGTCCTGCCGCGGCCCAGCCTCGGGCAGGTGAACGAATGCGCCGGCGGGCACCCGCGCGAGCCGGCGGCGACGGCGTCGGTGGCGACGCCGGCGTTGGTGGCGACGCCGACGACACATCGATCTCCGACTACCCCAGATCCTTCAATGAGCACCCCCCCCGTGCCAACCTGTCCGACGCCCCTGGCCCACTCCCCCCACGCGCCCCAAACCCACCCCCTCTCGCTCCCCAGCCTTCCCACGCCCCCCGAAGGACAGCGGTTTCGCACCCCCCACGCGATCCCCCCCCCCCCACGCTCATTGAGAGACCTAAAGTATATGATGTTTTCAATCTGGCGGTTGTTCCTCGGGTGTGGCTCTCTGGGCATCCTCATTGGGTCCTGGGGCCATCGAGATAGGACCTGGGGCGAGAGACCAAGCCCAGGGAAAGGGTCGGGACCTCTGGGGCCGCGGAATTCATCAATCATGCACCCGGCGCGACCCCAACAAAGGGGACGCCTCATAGGCGGAATATCGGAGGATGTCAGGGTTGGCGACACTGGCGACGTCAACGATGGCGGCGGCGGCGACGTCGGCGGCGACACCGGCGACGGCTTGGCGGGTGCGGCGGCGATGGCGGCGGCGGCGTCGGCGGCGAGGCCGACGATGTCGGCGACGACGTCGGCGGAGACGACGCCAGCGGCGGCACTGGTGACCTTTGCGGGTTAGCAGCTGTGGCGGCGTCGGTGGCTGTTGCGGCGGCGGCGGCGGTTGGCGGCCGCGGCGGCGGCGGGCGATGTCCTGCCGTGGCACGGCCCACATCGACATGCGTGACATTTCTCCACCCCCCTCCTCCTCCTTCTCCTCCTCCTCCTCCTCCTCCTCCTCCTCCTCCTCCTCCTCCTCCTCCTTCTCCCCCCCCCTCCTCCTTCTCCTCCTCCTCCTCCTCCTCCTTTGAAATGTTGACGGGAGGCCCTCCCGTCAACATTTCAAACAGCGCTGGGCCGAAAGAGCGTGCGCGCGAGCCCCGACCTGCGTGAACTATAAACATTCAGGGGCGGGCCTCGCCACGCCCCCCCCGAAGTCCGTGCGAGGGAACTATAGCTGGAACTCCAAGAAGTCGCCCTGCGCTCTTGTGCCCTCCAGGCAGGCCTCTGGGGTGCCATCCAGGCAGGCCCTTCTGCCCTCCACCAGGCAGGCCTCTGGGGTACCATCGCTGGAGCGCAAAAAGAGTCGCCCCGACGACGAGCCGATGCACCAATCCTGCCACCTCCACCGACGCATGTGCCTCAATCCGCTGCCCCGGCACTCCGAGGCCCCCACCGCTTCCCCAGGGGCGTTTATGTTTCAGCACGGCTCCATGTCCTTGAGTGCCCCCGGGCCCGAGCACGGCCCCACGGAGAGGCCGAGGTCGAGCCGGGCTCGAGGGAACATCTGGAGGCCTGGAAATATGGGCACCAGCACCAACACAGGGGGTTTTCTCCACAGGGGGAAGCTGATCCTAGATTTCGGTGTTGGTGGTGATACTTCGATATTTCGGTCACCTTGGAAGCCCGACTGTTACCACCATCGCCGAGATCGGAGGAGGAGGAGGAATCGGCTTCCCTCGGTGGAGGCACGCCTCCGATATAGTGGTGTGGGTGCCAACCTCGAGGCCTGCGAGGGGTGGCGGCGCGAGCGGGGGGGGCGGGGGGGCAGTGGCCCGAAGGGGCGGGGGACCTCGCAAGATGCCAATGGCTCCCAAGAAGGCTGGTGGCTTCACAGGAACTCTCCCTGGCTGTGTACCTGGCTGACGAGGGGAGAGACGGGCTCTCCTAGGAAGACATGCAGAGTTCGGGCTTGGGGTTGGGCGGGGAAAAGGTAAGAAATTCGAGCTCGGAAGCCAAAGACAGCAAGAATTCGAAACAAATTCAAACGACCAGGTGGAGACGGGAAAACATCAAAGGTTTTTGTTACAGAGTCTGGAAACAATTGGAACAACTCGGAAAACAGTAAGAACAAACTTTCACAGTTCGGACAAGAAAATATTGGGAACATCGAAAACAGTTAGCAAACAATTAGAAATCCATTCGGGAATCCACGAACATCTCACGCGCGCTTTGGATAATTGGAATATATTCGCCGCCGAACGTTATCATTTTTTTCCGGACTTCCTGATTCTTGCAACTTGATACTTGGACTTTGTAAAAACATTGGCCTCGAACTTACTCCGTTCTTTGATTGTTTAAGCATAAGGACCGTTTACACCTCCCCCGCGAATGCCCCTGGCGTCCAATTGCCCAGGCTTCCAATTGGGGGCCCAGCGCGGATCCCAGAGATCCGCGCGAAGCGCCCAAAGTTGATGTGTATGGCGTCCTGTTTTTTTTGCGTCGATCCAAAAGAGCCCTCTCAGAAGCACTGGGGCGCTTCTGAGAAGATCCCCGCCGTCTGTTAAGAGGCAACTGCTGGGAGGTGTTCGTCGGGAAGAATACGGAAGATTAAGCCCCATTTGGGAGCTGTTACGCCGGAAAGGGCCTAGGACCAAGCAGGACTAAGCCAGATGAAGCGGGATGAAGCGGGATGAAGCCGGATTAAACGGGATGAAGCTGGATGGAGCCGGATTTCGGACCAGGGCGAAACCAGAAGTTGGCCTCCCAGGAATTGCATCCGAACGTCCGAGAAGCCCCCCCCCCGCGCTCTGGAGGGGGGCGCCCCCCCGCTCCTCACCAACCTGGAACACATCCCCATCCCTTTTGCTGGGCATCTCCTCATCACGGTGCCAAATCTTAGGGATTCCCTTATTTCTTGAGGACGCATCCCTAAGATTGTCATCGCCTCTTGGCGTGTCAATCTTAGGGATAGGGATAAGTCCAGGCCGGTGAGCGCTCCCCCTTGGCGCGCGGCGCGCCGCACGGGGCGGGGGCCGAGCGCGTGGTGCTCTCGGCTAACCGCGCGTGCCGCACGGAGGAGGCCTCGGAGGCTCTCGCTCGCTCGGGGGGGGGCCTCGTGCGGACCTTCCCGTGTTGGGAGCGGCCCGCCGGCGGTGGCGTCGCTGCTCCGCACTCTCCTGATGGGTGAGGAGCAGAAGAGGAGAGAGAAGGGTGCGGGGGGGGGGCCTCGAGGCCGCAGTTGTTGGAGACGGTCCCAGAGCTGCGGTAAGTGACGTCCAGGGTAGGGGGCGGTGGACTCGCGCCATTTCGTGGCCCAAGGGGTGGCCACAGATGTCCATACCCCCTGTATTCGGGGGCCCTGGGTTCTGGGACATCGTTTTCCCAAGCGGTGAATGCGTATATCTATATATATATATACGTTTATAAATATATATATGTACACACATGCATACATGTGTGTATATGTCTATATATATACACATCTCTACATATAATGCATAGATATATACACATACATATACATATAGACGGCGGGTGCCCGTTTGTTTTATTACCAGCCTCTTGGTCCCTGGCTTCCCCCGGCACCAATGAATCCCCGGCAAATAATTCCCTCAATGTCATCTTCGAACCTACAGCACATACACCCGGGTCATGCTAAAATTGATACTTCTCCTGAGCGCGAACTTCCAATTGACACGCGAACATCTTGATACACATGCAACACACTCTCGCGAACACATCTCCGAGAATCCCTGATAAGGGCGGCTTCGGTCAAACCGCACATGCTCGCACAGGGCGTACACCCTCAGAAACAAAAAAACGATTCGTATCGGGCCTTCCCGAGGATGGGATGGCGTCCCCCGAACCGCGCGGCCCTGGCAGTCGGAGTCCAGAGGCCCAGGTATCCGAGGATATCTCTGGCGAAAGAAGGCCAGCGCACCAGGGCACCTCGCGGCCCGGAGTGCCGGAGGTGTCTCGACCGAAACGAATCTGAGCAGATCACTAACCGCCTCTTGGAACCCAGAGGTGTGAGGATGTCTCAGACGAAACGGGCCAGATCACCTGGAGTCAGGGCATCTCGCAGCCCAGGGTCCTCAACATATCTTACGTGGGCGAAACGGGCCCGACCACCTCGCGAACCGCATCTTCGAACCTAGAGTTGTGAAGATGTCTCAGCAGGCAACACGGATCAGGACACCATAAGTCAGGGAATCTCGAAACCTGTGGCTCCGAGGATGTCTCAGGCGAAACGCTCCTGAGCGCCTCGCGAACTGCATGTTGGAACCCTGAGCTGTCGGGATGTCTCAGCCGAAATGCGCCACAGCACCGCAAGTCAGGGCATCTCGGACCCCGTGGTTCCAAGGATGTCAGAAGTGAGACAAGCCAGAGCCTCTGTGGCCCATGGGGCGCAACGAGCCCTCTTGAGGGCGACCCGTCCCGGCACCTCCCTGGCACCGCCGTGGGGTTGCTGCGTTTGCCCCGGGCTGCCCCGAGCGACCCGAGCACCCGGGCGCAGGTGCCTCGCCCCCCCGCCAGCATAGCATGAGAAGCCCTGGAGAGGTCCGAAACAGCCCCAAATGCAAACCAAAGTGGCCAACGAGGACCATGCGGCTCTGAACAGACACGCGACCAACCCCCAAAACAGACGGACCGTTCGAGACATCCCCACATCTGGGCGCGAACGGGCCCGTGAAACACCTTGTTCGGCAGAGCACTGGCCACCATCAAAAGGCACGATCGAGCAGCGCGCAGCCCTGGCGACCAGGAGTGTCCCGAGAGCATCGAAAAAAACAAGCGTTTGTCTGACAGCAGTATACTTCCTCCTCCTCCTCCACGTTCTCCTCCTCTTCCTCCTCCTCCTCCACCTCCTCTTCCTCCTCTTCCTCCGCCTCCTCCTCCTCCTCCTCATCATCATCATCACATCACCATCACCATCACCGTGACCATCATCATCACCACCACCATCACCATCACCATCATCATCACCGTCATCAGCATCATCATCACCATCAGCATCAGCATCAGCATCATCATCAGCATCAGCATCATCATCCTCTTTCTCTTAGCACTCCACCTCAGCGGTTGCTGCCCTCGCACGCGGCATCTCTGCACCCAGAATTGCGGGGACGCTATCGGCGAAACTGACAGGATCGGCCCGCAGGCGGCATCTCC